AAAAAATGAATATGGGAATATTAGTTAAAAGGAAAAATGAGGCCTTCAGATTTTTCAGGGGTTTGAGGACCGGCTGGAGTTTGGAAAACTGATCGGACAAGGACGGAATTTCATGGGAACCGCGCTAATGACTAATGAAGGAGAAGCACGAGTCCATTCATGGAGATGTCTCGTGCCGGCTCACCGGAACGCCGCAGAAACATTCAAAATAACTTCAATTGGGTCCCAATAAGGGAGCACACATCGGACAGCCGTTTAAATAAGGAAATACAGCCCCTAAGTTTTACTCAGTTGGAGCCAGAAAGTGAATGGGATGAATTCCAGAACAGAAACGAACTTACTCCTAAAAAACGGCTCTATTATTACAATGAAGCTTGTCCAACTCTTTTCTTGCGTTTATAATGTATCTATTGAGAATTCCTAATTTTAATTATCATGTGATACATTTTAAGTTCACACGTTTCTTATTGCTTGTTTTTTCAAAACCAGTCCTTGACTTTTGCTTTTAGACTTTTTATTTCTTGAAATTGAATAAAAATGCTTTGATTTGAATACGTAAAGTGTTGAAAAAAACATTTATCAAAGAAAAAAACTTCCAATTCCAAAATTGTAAATTGTACATTTTGATCTAGAAAGTTTAGAATGATTCAGGAACCGGAGTGAAATATTCCCGAACCTCGCAAAGTCTATCAAGATATAATACTTGTTCCTACAAAACGAAAAAAAAGGTGTTTGTGGAGAAAGAGAAAAAAAGAAAGTACAAACAAAGCCGAGTTGTGGAGCTCTCGGTAGACGTACTTCTTCCTTTTTTGAAATTGAAACACGTGAGGAAATTGGATATATTTATGGGGAACTCCTGGAAGGTTTTTCAGGACGAATTTCGTTGGGTGCGATCAAATGTCATTTCTTTTGTTCTATTTGGTTCTTCTACTCGAAGAAAAACCAAAAAGATGTTTTCTAAAGGTTTCTTCGAGCTTCTGCTATGCCAAGCCTCTTTTGGTGTCAAAAGACAGTTCTAAATGAGTTAAATCGTTTTCAAAATTACACTGAAAGACTAAAAATATAGTCGGAACAAAATATTGAAAAATTAAAATCGAAAATGGAGATAAGGGCAGAAGCCTGACGTTGGCACTCGATGAAGCGTTGCTTATTTCGCTTCACAAACAACTTCTCTTCGCCTTATATTCCTTGCGAACAAATTCGGAATAAAAACAATATCCTATGTACCTTGGTTGATATGTAAAAATTCAGATCTGAGACTTCTGTCTTTTCCAGAATTAGAAGAAGCAGCAGCTGACGATGATAATAACCAAAAATAGAATGGAAAAAGTTAAAGAAAGAGCTCAATCATTAACTGCGAACGAGGGCGAAAAATGATAAAATAGCCTGAGGCAGAGTTTCTGGGGGCGGGAATGCCGCGTCAAGCACTTGGCCGAGATTTGCATATTTTAACGGACGGTTTTTATTTCGAACTTCCTTTTTTGGTTCTGTGAATATGCTGACGTGATGGCGACGAGTTAAATCAAGTCACTACTGAGAAGGAAATTGAGAAATAAAAGATACAGCGTCGCAATTTTTTAAATAAGTCCTGTAGTACATTGCAAAAATCCAGAGAGAAATATACGTCTATGCAGTTTCCACTCGTAAAATATAGCTTACAGAGGAGTCTTTTTCAAGTTTGGAATCTTCTATCTGTGCTGGAATACTCACTGAAGCTTCTTTGCCAAGACCGTCTGGAAGTTTTTGGGGCAGACTGATCAGAAAATACAAACTACAAACTGAAAAACTTTCATGAAACAAAAGTCTGAAAAGTATTTACACATTGAAAATGGATTCTCTAGCGAATACCATGAGATCTCACCAGGGAATGGTCTCAGCTCACAGTGGGACTTCTGAAAGAGACCATATTTTCTAGGTGTAGTTTTTCACGCTGATACCAAATCCGTTTTCAAAAGCTGCCACCGAGGTCTGTGAAAAAAGTTATGGACCCTCAAAAGTCGAAAATCTCATAGTCTCCGATCGAGCTCATTTTTAGAGGGTATATAGTCCTTGTTTCCCTTGTCACGATAAACCATCAAATTCTTTCAAAAATTGTTTGTGAGCCAAGATATGAGCTTCCAAAGCCCCGCCGCACACAAGAGAATGCGCGCGCGGTGTCCTATTGCGATCCGACGGCTGTCGAAGCAACGGCAGCGAGGAGCAGTGGAAAGGCGGCGGACTGGGGAGCACGAGGTCCTAGGTTCGGTCCCCACGCTGTGGAAACTTTTTTTGCAATTTTTTCTTTTTTGGATATTTCCGTGTAAGTGCTCCTTTTTTGAGTTTTGAAGCGTAGAAACATGAAAACACTGCGTTTTGAGCCTATTCGAACAGCTGGACTTCTTTTTGTCGCAAATTTTTTTCATGCATTTTTTCGTGATTTTCCATGTGTATGAGTGAGAAAAGTGAGGCTGGAGTGAGAAAAATTTTTCAGAAAAAAATTTTTTGGTTTTTATTATCTTTCCTGTTCGACAAGCGTAACTATGATGACTTGGGGTTAAACAATATTTTGAAGAAGGAAAGATAAAAAAAAAACCAAAAAAATTTTTCTGAAAATTTTCTCACTCCAGCCCATACACATGGAAAATCACGAAAAAATCCATGAAAAAAATTTGCGACAAAAAGAAGTCCAGCTGTTTGAATAGGCTCAAAACCTAGTGTTTTCATGTTTCTACGTTTCGAAACTCAAAAAAGGAGCACTTACACGGAAATATCCAAAAGAGAATAAACTGCAAAAAAAGTTTGCACAGCGTGGGCACCGAACCTATGAACTCGTGATCCCCATTCCGCCGCCTTTCCACTGCTCCTCGCTGCCGTTGCTCCGACAGCCGTCGGATCGCAATAGGACACCGCGCGCGCATTCTCTTGTGTGCGGCGGGGCTTTGGAAGCTCATATCTTGGCTCACAAACAATTTTTGAAAGAATTTGATGGTTTATCGTGACAAGGGAAACAAGGACTATATACCCTCTAAAAATGAGCTCGATCGGAGACTATGAGATTTTCGACTTTTGAGGGTCCATAACTTTTTTCACAGACCTCGGTGGCAGCTTTTGAAAACGGATTTGGTATCAGCGTGAAAAACTACACCTAGAAAATATGGTCTCTTTCAGAAGTCCCACTGTGAGCTGAGACCATTCCCTGGTCAGCTTTGTGATTTTCCAAACTTCAGTTAGGCTTGGTCTATTTTGACTCCTTAGCAGATTTTATTCTTCCGTGAAACTTTTTGATGCTTTCAAAAATCCTGGAAAAGTCGTATAACGATTGAAAACCGAAAAAAAAAATTGGAGACAGCGGCAATCATCCACGTCCACGAAAAGGAATCAAATTATTTTTCGAAGCGCAAGTCCAAAAATCCAGAAAAGGACCCGAGAAAGAAAAAAAGAAAGAGTGAAAAGCGAAAGTCGTGATTCAGGACAGCCACCGAAAACCTTGCAAATGAGGTAGCCTCGAGCGAAATTTTAAAAGTTATGGCGACAAATAGAAGTTAAAAAACTTTTCAAGTTGATTTTAAGTCCCATTTCTATGCTATTTTCATAATTTCTCCTAAACCGTGTTCATTATTGCTCAAAGCACTTATACTGAGACTAACACCATTTTTGAAAAAAAAAACCTCAATTAAATCTGAATTTTGAATGTGAGAAAAGTGGAGATTATGAAAAAATTTGATTGAGAAAGATTGGCCGTCGTCCAATATTATCAAGTGGTCGTGGCGGATAAACAGATTTTGAGATGTGAAGAGGTCTCGATCACCGATAAGTTATGAAGGGTCGGGAGAGTTTACCAACCTCATCTCATTGTTTTCGAAGATATGAGAGGGAACTTTGATTCCAGGGCAGCCTTAAAGTTTTTCTTCGAGTTAGGGATGAAAAAATCAGTTTGATTTTATGATCCATTTGAGCGGAGTAATCAGAGAATAAACAACAAGAAAATGGGCACTTTTTGAACGTAGTCGAGGTCACGCGATCCTGCGATCAACAAAGGTAATTTGCAAAAAAGTCTGCCGCTGCAAATTGCTTCGTTGCCCTTGATAACTAAGAATGGCTCCGAGCGTCTGAATAGGTAAACAAAGCTACTCTAGGAAATAAACGGGGAAACTGCGGAATCAAATGCTCCCTAAATCGAATCGAGAAAAAACTACCATCAATCTAGCCGGGTTTTTAAACACGACATGAAAATCTCAGACTAACAAGTTTTTAATTTCAATACGTGGAAATTCGATCATTTTTATAAGATTCTACTGTGCGAAAAAGAGGTATTCGAATCGATGAAGCTCAAGTAGAAGGTGACTGGGGCCGCGACGAGTCTGATGTATGGTTGAATGAAGCGGAATCACAGCATCGTCTGACGCCTCGGGGCAGGCAGAAGCGCTAATTGCGTCGCGAATTCAAAGATTTTGCTGTTCATCACACCAACGGTTATATTTTGCGAAAATTAAAAAAAAGCTGTCCTCTAACCTTCTTCAATATTTTCCGAAACTCGCTTCCTTCCTATTTTCAATCATCAAAATAGATTCGAGTTTCAATAGGAGCCCCAAATGGACCATGCCTGAGAATTCGCTGGACAACTTCCTTTCGCATCAACCTCGCATTAGTTAAACTTTTTTTTTTCCTGAAGGAAGAATATTAGAAAAAAGTAGTGAATTTTTCAAATCTTTGGGATTTTTTTGTAGATTATGCCTTGCAAGAAAAGATGAAAAAAAGGCTTGAACCTCGAATAACTTTTTAGTGAAGTTGATCTGATAAGGCAAATGCTCAAGATCGATCTAGCCAAATGCTTTTTCTTAGTCAATGAGACCTCGATTAATCATGAAAAATGTTGAAAAATTCGAGGCACTTTTTAAATGAATTTTTTTCAGTATTCCAACAATGAAAAAGTTCAACTGCAAAAATATTCAAAAATTGGAAAAAAACATAAGGCAAAAAAAGTACAGTTATGGCAGTTACAACGAAATGAGGGGAAAGATTCACTGAGATTCTGGGGATTCGAACTCGACGTCGTCTTCCTCATCGACGGCGCCGTCGGGCTCACTTTCGCTTTCCTCTTCGTCCGAATCAAACTTCCGACGAGCCAGCTTCGCTTCCAACGAGCTCGTAGACAAGTACTGAAAAAAATAGAGAAACGAATTTCAGATTCAAAAAGGCTGAAAAATTTTTTTTTATTAAAGAATAAAAAAATGACATTTGATTGACCTAATCGTTTTTTTGAAGCTTATAATTTCTCATTATTTGAAAAGAAGATAGGACTGAAGTTAGTACGATAAAAAAATGCATATTCATTATCGAAAAACCTTTCTATTCAATTTATATGTATATTTTTTTTCTTTTTTTCTCTTCATTCATATATATAATTATTTTTCTCCGTATAAAGAAGAACCCAACTCAACGAATGTAGACTTAAAACTTTTTTTCCTTGTTAATAATCAACAAGATTCGAAAATAATCCGACTTTTCTCACGGGAGCAAATGGAAGTGGTTACGCTGAAATAAGTTTTTCCGATGGGTTAAAAGATTCATAGAAAATTAGGTTGCGGAGATTTGTAACTACAATCTTCCAAACCAAATTATTGGAAAACTTTTCGATGGATTCATCTTGTTATATGACAAGCTTGAAAGGCAAATCTACCATAACTCAAACTTTATTTCAAATATCGTGGTTTGAAATAAGAACGAACGTCGTGGACGATGAAGTCATCTGTGTGATCCAATGGAAACTCGATGGAAATCGAGTCGGGTCCGTAAAACTCGACGCAATGGCTGACTTCGAGTCGGTTCTCCTGGAAATTATGGAATGGAACCGGGATGATTATCTCCGAAGCATTTACACTGATGAAGTTCTTGACGATTCCAATGGTTCGGTTGACAAGAGCGAGGAACGACAAAATGCCTCCTGAACTCGGCTGCGAAGCCTGGATGGCTCTGTCGACCTGCGAAACAATCAAGACGTCTTGATTGCAATAAGAAAACTACCTTGGGCAGCTGCATTTTCTCATAGCCGTAGCGTACGAGCTGCTGAGCGTAGTTGTCTTCGTACAAATCTTTTCCGTCCTCTGCCAACTAATCACTGACGGAAAGAAATTGATAACACAACTTTGGTATCAAGAGAAACGTTTTCATACTTTCCCAACTTTGAAATGACCAATTCGCATTCATTTTCAGGTATGTAAAAAACGTGATCTGCTCTCTTCAAGAGTCATAAGGTACTTTATATTTATTTATCTAATTTTTTAATCAAAACTTGAATTTCGTTTTCCTTTATGACTAGGAGAATTATTTCAGTGTGGGACTTTTCATAGAGATGGGGTTTTTTAAACTTGCAAAATACTGTTTTCAGGCCTAAATTAGTGTTAGGCACGTAATTTGACAGTTTACATCCCTAGATCAAAAATTGTGTTGCGCTGATTGCTGAAAATTCAAAATCCGACGCTTTCAAATGGCTTCCTGTAAAGAGCTTCACAAAAAGTAAGGTGATAAATGGAAATGTGGAGGATTTTTGAGTGAACTAAGTTTTCGAACAGATAAAATAATCGCATTGAAAAAAATTATTTTAGAGATTACCAGAAAAAAACTATGCCGACGGCTGATTGCAAGAGGTGAGGAGCGACAACCTGAAAGAAATAGGTGAAAATTGAGATTTTCGATAATTTTGAAAATAAAAAACTCGCATCAGGGTTATCGTAGTAAATTCCAAAAGTCGTGGAACCGCTTGGAAGTAAAGATTTGGCCTGAAAATGTCGTCCAATTCTCAACTTTAATCAAATAATCCCTTAAATTCTTACTTGTGTTGAAACAATCCGAGAATGAAAGAATAGAAAGAACAGGTTTGAAAGATTCTGAATAGTTTTTAGCTTACCTCCTTGAGGATGTTAGCGACTCCAGAGTAGGCGCCAACGTGGTATTTATAGTAGACGACCAACGGCTTGCTCAAGTTTGTTGGCGACGTCGAGACGGTTGGCTGCAAAATTCCAGCCGTTTTTTCAAGGTCTTTTCTGCCTACATTTTGTTAGACAAGCAACTTTTAACGAAGAAATACTTGAACCATGAAGAAAAAAACTCGTGAAATCTGCTCTGAATCTGTCAGCTGTTTACAAAAACCTTCTGCCACAAACATCTAGTCAACAAAAAGAGGATTCAATTCAATCTTTTTTTTTTCAATTGGCGACGTATTGAGAATCGGCCAAAATTTTTTACGCATCAGATGAAAATTACTCAAGTTCAAACCTGTATAACTTCCCCGGTTCTCGAGGAAAAAAAACCTCAAAGCTTTTGCACTTATTACAACAAAACTCCCACTATAATGTAAAATGACCTTCAGGCTTTTCTTTCTCAAAAAAGGCTGCACATATTCCATTTGAAGGTGCTAAGTCAGAATGATCAAGGTTAGTTGATTGGGCTACCAACCAGTTTTTCAATACCATTTTTTTGGCCGAAGCGGAGTGCAGTTTTGTTTGAACTCATCGTCACGGGGAACGGGGAAAGATGAAAAAATGGGGCTTCATTCCGGTTCGATTTGTGAGCCAAAGTGAAAAACTTTGGTAAATAGTGGAGAGAAAGAGGAAAAGACTCTTTGTAAATCATAACATCTTAAAGGAAATTTGACTTCTTGATTTGAAATTACCTGTGGCATTCATCAGACTGATTGAGAAAAAAATAATTGAGAATTGAAAAAAAGACGTCTCAAATAACCTCAATCTTGGCGAAGAAACCACTGTCCGCAAGCAACTTGTAGACAAAGCCGATGATAACTACGCTTGCCGCTAGAAGAACGTATTCGATCATTCTGAAACTTTAAAATATTCAGTCTCAAAAAGAGAAATCAAGTAATGCGGAATTTTCGGAAAAATATTTATGAAGAGACATTTGCCGTTTTATTTCGGGTCATTTTGTTTTGTGAACTCAAATACTGCAGGAGTTTTCGAACGGACTATACCGTCGCTGAATAGTTCATTGTTATGTACTTTTCCGGCCCATTAAAACTTCAGTTTATCTTCAAAATATTAATAAACTATCTTTTGAACTTTTGGCGCGTGAATGCCAATACAAAACTGCAACCGATTATATCGCTGAAAAAAAGACGAGAATGAAACTTGCGAACAAATGAAAAAGAAGAACAGAAAGACCAAGGTGGAGCTAAACGTTTCACCAGCCACCGCTTGTTTTTCTTTGTTACGATCGGCGGCACAAAAAACCCGACCAATCGATCGCTAGCGCTCACTGTTTTTGCCTCCAACGTCTTTTCTACTTTTTCGCTAGACTTTCTATATTTGAACTACTTGTGGCCTCCCTTCGATCAAACTTGGATTCGAAAAAACTACCATTTTTCTGTGCTCTTTTCGCCAATTTAGAAGAAATAAAAACCAGATTTACCATTTAATAAAAAAAAATTGGCCCCTTCGAAAACGCTCGTCAAGTTGATAAGCCAACCGGAAAAAAAGCTCGACCATTTTTTTCTAACTTTCACAGGGATGATAACTTTATTTTTAGAGAAAAAGAAATCAGTGTAAAGTAGCATACAAATATTAGATCCTACACAAAAAAGATTCATATCAGATGAAAAGCATTTACACAGAAAAACTGACAAAAGACGAAATCGCACTTGCACAGAGAAAGATCAGCTGATCGAACGAAACTTGAGAGAAAAAGAGACGACAGGCGCGAAGCAAATAACTGAAATTCATGAACTTGAGCGCGCCAGCAGCTGTACATAAATATTTGCTGCACTTCAGTGTATGAATTTCTTCGCAATTAAACACAATTTTGACAAAAACGGAAAATTTTAATTTTTAAGACTATTTGATCATTACGCTCTTACAATTTGACAATTAATTGCAATTACACAGTGAACTATTTACGACGCCACGCCCACAATTTTCGTAAAATATGACGTCTTTGGTTACACAGAACGGCGCTAACTCACATGCTTATTTGAATTGAAAAACATTTTTGGACAAAATTTTGTCCAAAAATGTTTTTTCAATCCAAGCCAAAAAGGAAGCCATTAGCTTATTATTACAAACTTTACGATTGTGCCGTGTTCAAAGTAATTTCCGCGAAATGCAAAATGATCTCTGACTCTCCAAAATTTAGTGATCTTTTCCTTTCTCTAACGGGTATTTTGCATTTCGCGGAAATTACTTTGAACACGGCATTGAAAAAAACATTTTTGGAGTATGCGATAATGCGTCCCGGTGTGTTCACACCATAACTACCGTAATTCACGGAACGTTCCGACGGACGTACCGATAAAAACGCCGTGTGCGATTAAGGAGCGGAAAAAAACTTAGAAGCTTTTCCGATTATTTTTAGGCTTTCTCACAATCATGAAAGCTGTATAAATTGGAGAAATCGGAAAATTGAATCAAAAAGGTCCAAAGGTTCACTTTTCTTGAGAATTTGATGATGAACGGTAAAGAAGAGACGTAAAATCATTATATCAATTTATTACTAGATTTAAACAAGCAAAAACTAGTCAAATATTGAAAATAAGAATAAAAATTCAAAGAAAATTCAAAATAAGACATAGTAGTGTTTGAATTTTCGCGCGCAGCCGAGCATCTAAGTTGGAATGGGTTTTCTCACTGGAGCAACTGCTTCCGCTGTTCAAAATTTTACATTTTCTTCCACTACGCAGAAACGCCGTGCACATGGTTTCTGAACTTTAAGAAGTTTGTAAGTTTGAAGGAACTGAAAAAAACATTCAAATACGTTTCTCGATTTTTAAGTTGTCACATAATTTGACTTTTTTCATTTCTTTTTTTCAAATTCAATATTTTTCATTATCCTAAAAACCGTAGTTCGTTCATTCAAAATGTCAACCTACAGTAACGAATCGGAGTGCAAAGATCAAATGTGCTCAATTTTTCGCTGCCGTGACCTCGCTCTTTTTCTCACACTGAAAACATTTTGGAATGTTCGAAATATAAGGTTATGCCAAAAAAAAGAGAAGTAGTGTCAATCAAAATGCGAGAAAATTTCGAAACCTTCAATTTACCTTCAGCGACTTAGTTTTTTCTCTCGGCAGTTATTATTACCGTTAAAAAAGAGCTCATAGAAATTTTTGAACCAGAGTCGATAATTCAGAGTTCAATTGAGGAAAAGCAAGGTTTTATGAGGAAAAAACATTTATTCGAATTTTCAGGACGTTTCACGACGGATCATTGATTTCTTCTGCTATTTCTTGAAGGGTCTGGCGGAGGGGCGGGTCCTCCCGTTGGTGGTTGCGGTTGCGATGTGTTACCGTCGTTGTTTCCGTCTTGAGGTCTCGCTAGAAAAAGACCTTCTCAATTTCACAGAAAGGTTAAAAAATGTGAACAACTTTTGATCGTTGAAACGGAGATCAATGAGAACTGCTGATGCCGTGTTCAAAGTAATTTCCGCGGAATGCAAAATATCTCTGCCTCTCTAAAATTTTAAGTTATCTTTCTCTTTCTCTGGCGGCTATTTTGGACTTCGCGGAAATCACTTGGAATAAAGCACGAAATAATTGACTTACTAGTCTGCTCGTTGGCTTCATTAATTATCTCCGCAACTGTGGCCAGGAATTCTGTTATGCTGCAATTTTTTGAGCTTCTTAGTATTTATGTTTTTGCTTCACATTTGAAAGCCTTCCTCTGTAGGCTGAGCCCGTGCTCCGTTGAGAGGTTCCTGCGGCAAGACCGGTGCCTCCGCAGGTGTGTTCGGCACAGGTGAGATTTCCATAGCTAATCGTTGGGGGGATGGCGGGAAAGTACGCAAAGAACCGTCTGTTACGGGTAAAAAATAACTTAGAAAAAGCAAATTTTTTTCTTGTTCTTTACATCTTCTTTTTGTTCAACTTCTGCTGTTCACTGTACCTGTGCGGTTAGAAACCGGTGAAGTGCTCGAAATATTACTGCGTTGGCCTTGTGGAGCAGTGGGATTATCAGAAGAGTTCGGTGGTAAGACAGAAGGAGCGGACAACGAAGTTCTGGGAGCTGGCAGAGCCAAAGGGGGAGCTGTGCGAGGCTCAATTACTCTAGATCCGCCGCGGGCTACTCCACGTCCTCTCCTGGACCCCTGTGTTTTAAAAATTTGTGCAATTCGGTTAGAAGGAAGCAAATTCGAAATTAAATAAGTAATCAACATAATAAAAATTACTCGTCGCGGTGGCGAAGCAGGAAATTGAAGATCGTTGTTGTTGTGGTGGTTGGTATTGATTGCCCAATTGCGTGGAAACGGCTCATTCCTCAAATTTCGAAGTTGATAAAGAGCTTCTCAGTTGGTCTGACCATGCAACCCCGCGGCGCGAAGGTGTTTGTCTGGGCGTCAAGGAAGTTATCGCCTCGGCTAAAGAAAACCTCCAAGGTTCCGTTTGCATGACAGTCTAGAAAATTGAAATTAAAATCAAATAGTTTCCCATCCTCCGAAAAAAAAGTTTGCTTGATATAACGAGTGCAGCGTTCCGTGTGGCGAGCCTCAAATTTTCAGTAATGAAAAAACGTCAATGATTTCCATCTCAGAAATTTTTGATAAAACGGAAACTTCTTTGTCTTAGAAATTTTCAGGAAAACTCCCATGCAATAAGTAAATTACTGTCTGATTTCAGGTAAAAAGAGAAGTGAAAAGGCAGAATGCAAGTAAAGATAAATAATGAGGTTTGCTGACTGCGGCCGTCAGCGCATTCGGATGGTGGTTGACGATGTAAGGCGGACGTCGGATGTAGTGCGACACGAGTTTGTAGGAATCCAGGCGACCTCCAGGTACTGTAACTCGCGCTTCGTTTGGCCCAAACAGGATCTGAAGGTCTTCTTTCGATTTGCTGGTCCCTTTGAACAAACCGTTGGATATTTTATTTCAGATAGCTTTTTCCATTGTTTCATTTTGTAGTAGTTTCCGAATAAAACCAATACCTGAAAATCTTGCACTTTTTCCAATAGTTTTGTAAGAACTTCGAGTTTTGGAGGGAAAAAGTCTTTGATTTGGGCTTGGAAGTTGTTTTCATCGAAGCGTTCCATATGTAATGAAAGCTTCGCCAGTTTCAACTTTCTAAATGCGACAAATTCAGAAAGTATTTCGACACATTTCACCGAAAGGAGAAAGGTACAGTGTTGCTTTGTTTGTGAGACAGTGAGAACATTGAAGGTGGAACGCTGAATTCTTCCAGGTCGGGTAGTTTCCCTGAAGTTATCTAAAATTACAAGAAAGAAGTTTATTCTTGAAAAGGGCACCTCTCTGTTGTCACAACTCGAAATACTCACCAAACTGTTCGACGTATCTGGCTCCGACTTCGGAGTCGATAATGCTTCCAATAAGTTCTAGAGTACGGAGAGATGTCAGAAGCAGAATTTTATCGAGAAGTTCTCCAGTGAGTGTGACTCCTGTCAAGCATACTCGCCGCAAAGTTGGAGAGAAGTAAGCCTGAAAATGGGAATTAAGAGCTGATTTACTAAGAAAAAACTTCGATGGCGCTTTTTTCAAGTATCGCATGAATAGAGAGCGGCAAATCAGCTGTCATTGAAATATGTAAACTTCGAAGTTTTTCAAAAGAAAACCCCGGATACTGTATCTGATCTCTGTAGAATCAGTATAATAAATCCATTTCTGAGTGAACTAGAACCGCCCAAAATTGTCACAGGTGATGTACAACTTCTTCAAGAGCTTCGCTTTCTCTTTCAGAACTGGCAAATCACATTCGCGGAGTCTGTAAAAAAAAAAGCTTCGCTTTCGTGGAAAAGTAAGATGTATTCAAGAGATTTCGCAAAAATGAATAGAAATGATAATTAATGTTGACAAAGAAGTTCTAGTTCAGAAACGCATGGTTCTGCTTTCGCTCCATTTTCGGCTCCGTCGCACTTCTTTAAATAACTCTACAAAAGTTTTCACGAACATATTTTCTGGTTTGAAAGAAAAAAAAACCTTGTTTGAATACATAGTCGTTTTACTTGAGGACACAGTTTCAGCAATGAACTCAGCTTCTTTGTTCTGTTTTCCTTCAATTTCAAAATAAATGATTGCTTTGAAGTTAATTAGAGACATTGTCTCCGCTTTAAAAAAAATTTCCTCAGAATGCTCCAGCGTATCTGAGGATTGAGCTAACAAAATGCACTCTCTACCTCAATCTTGTTAAACGAATCCATCAATAAATAGCATACAGCGCCTAATTTTCGTATATTTAATACTTGTGTGATCTCCGATATTATCCCAACGTATTCGCGAGGGCTGAGGGAGCTTTAGAAGTATGCTGCCCGACAGCATATCTGGATAGCATATCTGGATACACCATGAGATTTTTTTTTCTCAAATTTTTTCTTCGAGAGTTTTTTCGACAATTTTTCCTTAAACACACCTATTTGAGGATAAGTTTTTTTTGAGCAAACTATTTTGTCCCTTTTTTGATTTCTAATTTTTTTAAATTCTTGATCAAAAATGCAATGAAAAAGGCTGGAAACGAGTTCTGATCTTCCTTTTTACGATTGAAGGATGAAGCTCACAGGGGGACAAGTTATATCATGGGCGAAACTGTCGCCGTTGACCGTCAAAGAGTCGTCGTCGATGACCAGGACAGCCATGTCGCCCCATCTGAAGCCTCCTGACACCTCAAAGAAAAAAGAAAAAGCCGTACCTAGTGCCTGCCGCGAAAGTTTCTTCGTCCAGCTCAGCGAATGTGAGTCTAGAAGAGGGACAAAGATGCTTGGACACAGACTCCAAAACATCCACTGTCATTTTGAATCAGCCGAACTGCAAAGCTCCGCATTTTTTCCACATTTAAGCATGTTCACCTGAAGAACTGTGTAAAAATAAAATGCCATTGAACTCTTACGATTTCAGCGTTTTTATTTTCGAACTACTTCGAGTCTTCGCAATAATTTCTGTCAGTAAGACTTTTATAGTCTGTGTATCACGACTTGAAGTTTCACGGAACGACATTCCGCTGTTCCGCTGCGTGCGTTCGCGAAGCGTCTTTCGAATCTAGGCCACGACTTCAATTGATTGTTATTGATGTGGGAGCACATAAAAATAGAGCACCTTAATAAAAGAAAAAAAAATATTTAAAGGGCGACCAAGGTTCGCGAACCACACAGCGGCACAGCGGAATGTCGTTTTGTGAAGTTCCAAGTCTTGGTACACAGGCTATACTTCTCTTAAATGTACCTCCTTTTTTCATTTTCATGCTTTAAGCCACAAGCGAATCAAATAATATCATAATATCCTCAATTCTAATTCAGAGAACTTTGGAACAAAATATATTTTGTGGAATTTCGAAAGTATTTCTCAAAATGAATACGAAAAATTCAACCGTTATTGCCAGCCGATTTGTACGTGTACCGGCCACTAAGCTCCTGATCTCAATAACTGAAAATATTAGCTCAAAAACTTTGCAATGAAAGTCCGTTCCGCAGGTTAGGCAGTTTTGAGAGCAAGTAATTGTTCTGTATCGTACGACACGCACCACATCCTTTCAGAAGAACTTCTTGCATTGCGATCCATATAAAATGTTGCGATAAATTCTCATTTATGAAAAAAATGTACAAAAAACAGGAAAAAAAGAATATGGCAAAACAGCGAAAGAGATCGGTTTGAATGATGAGCGTAGGTGAACTATTTACGGCCGAAAATAGGCGAAAACATAGGGCTGAGCGTGTGGGGCACTTGAGCCCATCCTGCAAAACTGTGTGTTGAAAAAAGGCTTCCAATTATTTAAGATTTACCGAGGCTCGTGGGACCACCCCAAAGTCGATCGCTGACTGCATTATTGTAGCCCCAGGAATTGTAGCCGTAGTTGTCCTCGACGGCTCGGCGGAAACGGAGAATTCCTGCCTTGGAAGCTTGAATCAGCAGAAAGAGTAGAACGACAGACAAGACGCTGGAGAATCGCATTTCCCAAAGAAGAACGATTGATAAACCAAATTCGGTTTCGGTCATTTTATACAGCTCACACTATCTCCGACAGATTCAGAAACGGAAGAGGCGTGGCTTATCACAGCTTTTTTTTTTCATCAGTCAACGCCAGTCGGGTGTAGACCACTATGGGTGTCCAAGATATCACGTGTAGTTCTCTGATCTGCGCCAAAGAATTCGATCAGTTGACCACGAACACGTCACCGGAGGACCATGAGAAGGGTTTGGGCTGATTCATGGAGAGCAGATTGACTTCTGTCACGAGAAAAAAAAAACAAGTTTTGCAAGAGGTTTTGACAGTATTTTGAAAAGTAGTTTCGCATGGTTTTGTATGCATAAGAGGAACTCGTTGATAGAATAAAACTTGAAAAAAAATTTTAAATTTGTTTTAATGGATCTTTTCATGTTAACACGGAGTTTTTCCTCTGCAAAACATCAATAGTATTAGAAATATGCACCTTTTTCCAAATTTGGAACTATCCGATAGCTTAAAACAGGCTTTTTATCTTTAAGTCAAAATCCAACCCTTTTATGAAAAAAATCGCGTTATTGTTCATTTATTCTCTCGAAATTAAATTATGACGTATCAATTAAATATATTCTCGGTGAAAATTTTGTATTTGGATGAGTATATTTTGATAAAATTTGAATATTCTTTCGAAGCCTGGCCTTGCCCAAGCCCGCAAAGGCTTCTTCGCAAAGGCTTGACGCACAACCCTGGCTTCGACATCATTTAAGAATGTAAGTTTTGGCTTATCTGGGAATATTTATAGGGTTTTGACGTTTTATTCGAAGCAAATATTTTGTTACTATAGTAGTGGAATTTGTAAACGCTCAAGTAGCTGATTATTAGTGGCCTCTTCAGAAGTCATCCCCACTATATCAATAAATAGTTGAGATACCAATTTAGAGGTCTATCTCGCG